TTGTGTTGTAACTTTTACGAAGGTACCATTGTTTTTCCACAGTGAGAGAAACATGCATACTTTCATGCAGATTTTCTTTCATTTTTTTAAATACACTACAAGAATTCATTCCAGAAGGTTCTCCATCCATCTATGGCATATTGCCAATTTCGTTGCCAAATGTCTCCAAATGGACAATTTATCACCAAATGTGGCAGCCCCACCTTCCCTCGGCACTCTCTGGCTACCCTAAGCCCGCTTTGCTGGAAAACTATCTTACGATGGCTGAACATTTCATAACAGTCCCCCCTTCCAAGGACTGCACGTTCCTGGCAGTACAATCCTTGGTCAGAAGCCAAATTCAATACAAACAAATAACATAAATAAACAAATATTTACACTACGAGTTATATATACAAATTAACCACATAACAGTTTTAAATTATACAAATTAAAGTTCAGAATGAATTGCAGTCTCAAGCTTTTTAGTTATACCCGTGTCAAATACTGTTTCACCGCAATTCTCAGATGTATTTCTGCTTTTGCATATCACAGTCTGAAGATTCAGTCCTATCAGACTTTTCATTCACATGATGATCTGAAACAGTTTGTTCACCACTCTGTAGTTTAATCGCATCATGTATACAGTTCACCTCAGTACTTTAAACAGTTGGTACATGCTAATGCTTATTTACCTCTATTACCTGAAAGCCTGTTCCAATGTTTGCATCAGGGGCATGAATAGAATCCAATCTTTTACAAGCACAAGTATACTGGTTTAGAACCAAGTTTATGTCTGTACAAATTGTATTATGAGACACGTACTTAGTTTGAGAAGTGGTTACATTTTCTTGCAATACTGGAAGACTCTGCTTAAGCTGCACATCAGCTTCTCCCATCTCTGCATCACATGCACTTTCAGAAGGTTCAATACTTGCTAACTGAGACTTTGTTACTTCAGTTCTAACCCAAAGTCACCTTTACTTTCTTCCAAACTCACTTAAGGCCTTGAAAATCATAACTGTATTCCACAATTATTCCTTCCCAGTTTCCTGCCCTTTTCAATTGGCGCGCCACGATCAAACTTCCAGAGAGGTATTCCTGTTACAATGCAATGACAAGATTGTTGCTTCGAAAAGATCATGATGGAATGCCATGTAACGATCATTTTGTAGATGTTACGTTTGTAAAATGAACCTATTAACACTGTCGAATAGTATTAAAATGCTATATATAAAAGATCTTTCATCTAATCTAAATTTTAACTCATTATTTTCTCTTAAACTCAAAGGATGTTATGACATCCCGGCGCCCCCGGGTGGGCGGTTTGTTGGAAAATGTCGGGATAAAGAATAGATAGGGTAAGTGATTACTTATACTCGTTTGAAGTTATTGATGATGTACTATCTAGCCATTCTTCATCTTTAAAAAGAATATTACTTTCTTTCATCTCAACTTCAGGCATTTAAGAATCAACAGCTTCTTTCCCATCTTTCCTTTCTTCAGTCTCGAGATATTTCATTCCTCATTTCTTGATCTTTCTCAGACACTTCACCAGCTACTTCCTTCATTTCTTTATCCTTTGATTTTTCAGATGCCACTTCTGCCATATCTACATCTTCTTTTATGGCTCCAGTTTCTTCAACAAGCTCCACTTTTATCTGTTGGAGTTGCTTTCACAACTCTTCTTGGACAATCTTCATCTCTTCTCATATGGCTTTCTTCTCGTCTGGTCCCCTTTCATCTCAGCCATCATCTCTTCATACCCAGCTTTTATCTCAACCTTAATTTTCTTCATATCCAGCTTTTATGTCAACTTTCATCTTCTTCATTTCCAGCTTTTATCTCATCATATCCAGCTTTTATCTCATCATATCTGGCTTTTATCTCAGCCGTAATTTTTTCATATCCGGCTCTTAAAGCTGCTAAGAAATCCATGAACTTCATTTCCTTTGCCATGGCTTTCTTTTGCAGGAGGGTCTCACTGGCATTACTGGTATTCACTCGCAAATTCCACTTCTGACACCAGCTGTTGCATTTTTTTACAGGGTCATAGATTTGGAGCGATTAACATTTGATGAAGAATGGAAACTCAATTTATTAGCTGGTATTACTTACGACAGCTCTAAAAGCATGTTTACAGTCATAGAAAAACTATGACAAACACGTTCAACAAATCAGCAACACAGGCTTCATGCTATCAGGCTTAACTGTGAAGACAAGTTCATGGCAAAGCACCAGGGTACAGTCCCCGTCCCGATTCAGTCATTCTCGGAACTCTATGTATTCTCGAAACTCTCCACGCTACAACTCATGATGCACCTGACGATACACTCAATAGCCTCAAAGATGCACCAACTTGTGATACACTGACGAGACACCTCGACACTTAGACTTGAATAACTTTATAGACTATAAGACACTCTCGATAGACTAAGAGACTCTGACGAAACATATTGACTGACTGATTGCTACTCCACTAACAGGCAGGCTTAATATAGCTTTTGGGCTGCTTTCAAGAACATTCTGGTCCAAACCGATAAGAATTCGTTCTAGAAAGTTCTCCATCTGTCTATGGCTTATCACCATTGTCAAATGTCAACAAATGGGCAATTTCTCACCGAAATAGCAACCCTACCTTCCCTTGCACCCTAAACCCGCTTTGCGGGGAAGCTATATTACTGCAGCTAGACATTTAGTAACAATATCAAAATTTAAAGGAATTTTTAATACCATGTAAATCACAAAACTGAGAACTAAAATAATTAATTTTCTTTCATTTCCAGTGCTTCTGTTATTAAAATAATCGGAAGCTTTTTTAACATTAACCTTTTTAAAGACAGTAATGCTTAAAAAAAAAATCATTATTATTCTTTCCAGAGTCGACAAGTTTGAAGATTACTGTTGTTAAGCACTTTTTTTTAATAATCAAAACACATGGTTGCTGCTTTGTTAATGTAACAAATCACCAGCTATAGACAGGTGGAGCCAATACTACATTAATATGAATTGCAACAATAATGTAGTTGCAGAATTCTGAAATGAATATTGAATTATTAAAAATAATGTCACCTTTTTAGGTTCCACAATTTGATCTAATATTATATCCAACATTGGTTGTGATATAGTATCAGCTTCTAGGATTAAAGGACACATCATATCCAACATAAAATTCTTCACTTTAGTTGAATGATTATCACTAAAAAAGAAATTTAAATAATTACAGTATAACACTGATTAAGTCATAAAAATCCGAAACATATGGCAACTGAATGCATAAAGCACAAATATGTTACATATTGTAGAATAATATAAGTCAAGCCTATTTGAACAGCTCAAATTTACAGCTGTTGTTGACCTCATAGAACCTGGCTGTGGCAAAAGATAAATATCTATTTTAACAACTTAAAAAAATTTTAGAATATAACATTAGATTAAATATTTTTCTAAGCAAAAAGATGTATGATGTACATTTTTCAATTTTTTTATATTAAAATAGTTTATATATATTTATTTAACACAATAACAATCAAAAGTGAATTAATTACTAAATAATTACGCATTAAGCTTAGATATATGATTCAGATATGATTTACAAAGTAGAGCTAGCATACAAGAAATAATTTTTCGATAAGTTTAACAAGTTTTACACAAATGGTGAATCACTGAATGTGTTATACAGTGTTTTGATCTGTAAGTAAAGTCTTGGATCATAAGGTTCATCCCTTTTCACATTTCTTAGACTACAGCCCAAACTGCATTGTTGCTAGTGAATGAAATTAGTTTACTGTTCTACTATTTTTATTAAACAATCTCTCATGCAACTTCTTACAAACAGTATTTAAGTTCTGAAAATTTATATTTCTTTACAGTTAAGCAAGATTTAAACTATGTATTTCAGTATCACCAGTTTTAGTAGTGAGATGGTTATCAAATAAATAAATAAATTCAAGAAATTTACATTCTGACATTCAGTATTTTCTAAGCTACAAATAAATAACTGGATATTTCCTCAACAGCTTAAAGCAGTTACATATGAAGTAGTATTAAAATTTAATTAAAGATAAGAATGAACAAATAAGTTACAAATCCAAATCACATAAAGCTGATTGCATATCATAACTCTAACGAGTAGACTCAGTTCTCCTTTTTGTTATTCATCTATTTTCTTTCTCTCTTCTCAAAGGTTCAAAATTAGTCTATTCACCAAGCAATGAGCTTAATAATGAAATGGTTCAATAATAAGTTTGGGTACTTTTCCGTTTCGCCGGCGCAAACCTCGCCATTTCCCTTTCTCCGGCGCCAACTCTCCAATCACTTATGGCGACACACACAGTATACACCTAAAAAAATGTTTAACAAATGTTAATTCTAGAATTTTTTTATTTTTTTTTTTGAGGCATAAATATTTTAATATCGTTTAGAAGTTTTCAAATGGTTTTGTGTCCTTTCGCCACATAAATTCGGTGAGGAACTGTCCAGATGTGCCGAGCAGTTCCTCTGTTTTTAAGTCCGCCATTTTGCTTCCCATAGTCTTTCATTTTTGCGTGGCGTCAAAGTTTTTCCGATCTACAAAATGAATTTATGGTTCACTTGAATGTTCGAAACTTTCTTCTTCCATATTAGGAAGAGGAAAGAGAAACTTTCTCTTTCCTCCTAAATTTTTCAGTGCATATTAGTTCCATAAATCGAATACACTGTATTTCCTTTTTCGATGTTTTCATTATGCCTCTTATATAATACTATCATGATCAGTTTGGAACCCTCACAAGGAAACTTCTTTGTTTACGACAACCCACAAAGATCCATGTTGTGGTAAAATCCGTCCCGCGTTGTTTTGGCTTCATTAACATACTTTCATTCACTTCAACTATCATACAGGTCTCCATTTTGGTGTTGCGTTTAACTACAGATCCACACAACCTCTCGCATGTGTTTTCCATCCCAGCTGTCTTGACTGATTTCCAACTGCTTTTTCACACATTTAACTGAGTTATTCTTCACTCCACCCTAATGATCTTAAACACTTCAAGACTCACTCGATATAAACCATGTCCTTTTGTATACTTCTTTACTGCTGCAAGTTCAAAGGTGCAACGCCATTGAATTTCGTCTCCGAAATATCTTTCATTTCATGAGTATGTTCACAAATAGCAGTTAGGCAAACTCCTTTCGCTTGAAAGAATCTGACGGTTCTTCTCTTTCCCTGGGCAATCCCGATTTTCATGGTTTTTCATCCATTTTGACATATTTGTAAAAGACGTTAATAATTTACATGCTTTCCATGGTAATACCTCTGATCGCCGGTTAATATCCGTGATCCAACGATCTCATCTCACGTAAAATACGCTACAAAAATCTGATTCCTCTCAGACTATCTACATTAATTTCAGTTAATCTCATATGGAATACGATTTTAAAATGCAAGAATTATTTCAATCTTAAATTTAAAAATTCTAATTATATTGAAAAAAAAAAAAAAAAGTAAATCGATAATAATCTCACGACTTGTTTGAAAAAAAGTTATCAGCGAGAAATATTCGCCGGATATTCTCCATTTTTCGGTCGGCGACTTTATCGCTTGCAAAACGCGAATGGGAATTTCGGGCCAAGGAAAAGTACTAAGTTGGCCATTTCCAACAATTGCACCTAAAAGCATCATCCAGCCACTGGCCAATAATTTATTCAATATATAACAAATATAGAACAACTATAAAAAGTAAATTTACCCTGTGAAAAACTTGGCTTAATGCTTGCCTAATTCAAAGTCACAACAAAACAGCGTTATACCTACAAAACTTTCACAGGAGTGTTGCGAGGTTTTACCGAACCATATCCAGCTGCAAAACGCAATGAACAAGATAGGAATATGATAGTACGATAAGAAGAAAATTGTCCAGGCTTTCTATCTTCGTCTCATTATTTCCTATCTGTTCATTTGCGGTTTTGCAGCTGAATATGGTTCGGTAAAACCATCGAAACTAGTCCTGTGAAAATTTTGTAGGTATAACGCTGATTTTTGTTGTTTGACTTCTGAATTAGTATTTATTCAGCGTGTTATTGTGTCTTAATTAATGCTTGCCATCATACTAATGACAAAAATAATAATCTGTGATGTCAATGGATGATGCAATATCAACTTTAATTGTAAGGTAAGAAGTAGATAATTATCTGAACTATTTTCAAAATAAAGTTTAAATTTTGTTTACAACTAAATTATATTACATGTGCTATGTTATGATATGGAGAAAAACTATTCAATTTTCATCACAGGCAATTAATGACATGCTTCAACGTACATTACCATGCTTTAATTCAACAGGCATACCTTATGTTATAAAAATTTCATACATTTTTTAAAAGGGACTTTGTTGTAATTCAGTGTGAAAGAAATTTACAAAACTTCAGTACCATAAATAATGTAAATATTTTAAATGACAAAATAATGTAATCACTATCAATAATATGCTGTCAAAAAACTGCATAACATAGCATAAAATATATGTATTTTAATTAAACTTTCACATACATTACACTATCCAAAAGCAATCATTTTGGAAAGAATCACTATAATGAATACATCAAGCATAATTTATATGGATATAATTAAAGAAAGATGAAGTTTTATTCTGAAAGAGAAAACAGAACAAATTGAAAATTGCTAAGTATACTCACTTTACAATACTAAATATTAAATGAAATAACTTTGTAAATATCTGTTGGTTTTCCTCTAATTCTATACAAATGTTGAAGGTTTTAACCCATGCAAGATTCTAAGAGGGAAAGTAGAAAGAAAAAAAAAGACAAATTATTTCAACTGCCAGAAAGACCAAGCTAAAAATTACCAAAATTTATACAGTATCAAAGAATAATATAAAGGTGTTAATGTACCACTATAAGCTTTTCTTAATACAGTACATAAAAAAAGAAAAGTCAAACTAAAATGCATATAAATATAAAAATGGTTAGTCATAAGTATGAAAGGAAGAATACATGGAGGTAAGAAAGGAAGGAGTGGCTAATCCGGCATTAAAAGTGAAGCATCACTCCGAAGCTTCGGTCACCAGATGGCGTGTTTTTTGTTTACATTCAGAAACACTCGCTTGACAGCGCTCTGATAGTATTTTGGCATACGACAGTTCAATACAAATTGAAAAATGGGACACTTCTGCATAAAAGAAAAATTCCTAGTGTGATGGATAATAGCAATTTGTATAGTTTAGTGACATTTACGCAAAATCACATCTTGGTTATTTTCCGATAACTAATAACAGTGATTTTGATTAGTTTTAAAAATTCTAAGCTTTTGAACTACAAAAAAAAAAATAGATTTTAGCAAAAAGTTATGCTTAAAGATGAAAAATACCTCACCGTAATTTTAAATAATTTTCGATCCCTTGATAGAGTATTCGCTACTCTTATTTTATGTTTCCAAACCAAAATGTTTTAAATAAAATCAATTTTTTTCACATCCACAAATTATGTAACACTTTTTTTAAAATTAGTGTAAATTGCTTTACTTGAAAAATAAATGAATACAGATTAAAGATTTGCCGACTGAAAAGGTTTTTATGCCCATGTTTGGCAAAAAGATGTATTTAACAAATGTGTATTTATTGTATGCGTATTTAACAAATACATAAATATTTCAATTATTTAAAATGAATTTGAAATAAAGGATTTATCATTCATAAACAACGTGACTTACTAAGAAAAATCTAATTATTAAATGTATCTAAATTTATAATGATTATAATATTATCTAAATATCTAAATATATCTTATATACTCCTTAACATTGAATTGTAAACATAAATAATCCTGTTGACAAACGTTATAAACTATTAGAGTGTCGTACTGGAAAGCAATCTGTAAAAGGTATTGTAAAAAAGCAACTAAGAAAGTAATAAAAAAGTTTTGGAATGTATTTTTAAAATTAAGGATAAAAAAAATTGATAGTATAATTTAAAGAATTATTCCCCTACTTTATAACTCAGTTACAATTTTAAATAATATTTTAAAAAAAATAATCCTTTTTTTTCTCTTTCAGAAATATCAGAGAAAGTACTATTTAAAGTATTTTGCTATTAAATGAAAAAAAAGTGCTCTAATTTGAAATGGCCGAATAGAGCATTAATTAAAAATTGACTTATAGTTTTCGATTTAAAAGAGGCCTCAAACTAAAAATCATGTCTATATGAAGAGTATTTTAGGAAGAAGCTCTATAATAAAAGAAATAATGCTAATTTTAATAATACAATAAACTTTGATCTTCTTTTTATAACTTAACCAAATCAAATTGATTACCTAAATTGTTTTTCTAACGCATAACGAAAACTGTGAATGAGTCAATTGTTGTAAGTATGTTCAGTATAGCATTATCCGTTCAGAAAATTTTTTCAAACTGTTTTCTTTTCATAGACTTAGAAGAAAGGAAAAAGATAATATAATTTATGCATATTTATGAGTAATTAAAAATATTTACATCCGATTGTTGTCAACCCTTAACTCAATGTAATTACCCAATGTTTTGGTCACAAAGAAGGGATCGCAAGTCTTCAAAGCAGGGTATGGGAAACTGTTTAGGGCACTCCACTCCTTCTACTCCATGGAAGATATGGGGTAAAACTTGTATAAAAAATTCCCCATAATATCCTTTAGAAACTCAAACAGTTACAAATTTTAAAGTACCAAATATGATACAGCATCATCACACTAAATATTTAAAGAATAAATGAAGTCTTTAATAAACATATAAAATAATAAATAGGAAACATGTTATTAACATCACGCACTTAAAAAAATTAAATTATTAACTGATTCATCATTTGTATACGGATTTCCTTTAATTTTTATTTTTCTTGGATACAAAATAAAATATAAAATGTGTGTAAATTATAAGAAGATTGTTTATTATCTTTTAGTGTTGTGTTACATTATGGATCTGTTTATATAAATACTTATTTATTTATAAACATTATCTAATTGTTATAATATTCATACAGTCAAAAGTGTTCAGAGGACTCGTTGGGACTTTGGTGATTTCCGATTATTCATCTTTAACTTGCGATGTCATAATTTAAATTAAAAATATGAAACGTAATTTATGAAATAAAGAACATTATGATCTAAGGTATCAAATTTACAAACAAAAAAAAGCTAATATTTATTTGTTTACTTATTAAACATTTCTTTCATGTGTTGCTCGTTTTATTGATATACTTTCTCTTTAATTCCATAACCGACATAATTTCTTGTTCGTTACAAATTTCCGCTGTTCAAGTCCTATAATTCTGGTCGGAATAACGACTAATTTGTCAATCGAAATTTTTTCATTTAAGAACCTCTGTGTCACTTTCTTCACTACGAAGCGAATTATAATGACAGGAACTTGATTTAAATCATATCAACAGACGGAGTACATCGAGATGAATACTACATTTAGTACGAATTATAAGCCAAATAAATAAAAACATCTGCCCTGATAAGGATAGTGCTACAGATCAACTTCCAATTCATTGCATGCCGCGGCGTTTCCCCCCCCCCTCGCCACAGAGCATCGTGAATGATAACAGATTTTCGGAATGGTATTCGTAATGATGGCGAAAATATGAAGACTTAGAATAGGAGAACTCCTGACTGCTTCAGCAACTGTGAGAACCCAGTTAGTGTTATGATTTGGTCTGCATGTCACAGATGGTATTGTTCCTTCATGTCTCGATGGGACCTGAACCCAGAAATACATTGACACCTATCTAGAACCAAAACTTCTACCTTTCATCAGAGTCTCTTTCCTAACATGCTTTTTTTTTTTCAGCAGGATTCTGCTCCTTGCCACATCGCCAAATATCGAAATGTAAAAAAACGTTAGTTTCTACAAATTAAAGTTATTATTCGAGTTGTTTAGTTTATAGTTTTATTAGTTTATAAAATAGATTCGTTATTAGTTTCGTACAAAGAGCATTAAGTTTCATGAAAAAGGGATAGCCTTGTCATAAAAGATTGGGTTTTTTGTTGTCAGGGGGGGAGGCGGGGTTTCCTTCCTAGCAATTTGTGGAAACGTTTGAAAACTCAAAAAAAAGAAAAATGTAATTGATAAAAAAAGAAAAGCTTAAAACCCTTGTCAGCTCAAAACTCGAGTGAAGTTGTAATCAAAAATAAAGTGTACCCTACTAATACTAAATCACTGCAATCATCACTATCTAATGTATCGATAACTATTATCGTTTAATTTTTTTGTATTGCAATAATTGAATTTTGTGTTTTGTATCGAATTTAGTAATAAATTCTCTTTAAAATGATATATACAAGTTTGCATTTTGTGAAACGTAATGTTTTCAAAACATAAAAGTGTCCACAATTTTGGCCACCACTGTATATCCTTATAATTTAAGATACTTTGCTTTCTTACTTTAATAATGTAAATTTTATCTTGATGAATGCAAGTTTATGAAAATAAGGACTAAAATAAGTAATTACACAAATTTAGCTAATAAAATGCTGTTTAAATATACATTTTCATAACAGATCCCCTGTGCTCAGAGGGTTAAAAATAGTTATGACAGATGCACAAATTATTTCATAACTTCTTTTAAAGATAAACATACCTCCAGCAAATAAAAATAACGTTTGAAAATTGTATCCTTGGGGTCTTCTAAACCTTGAAGTTGTTCAATAAAAAAATAAAAAATTGCCTAAGAAGAAACACAAATACAATTAGTCAACAAATATAAATTTAAACTCTTCTCATGAATTTCAAAAATATAAATCTTTATATAAATTTAGACATGATATTGAACAGCCAATATATTAAATATGCCACTTAATTAATATACTACATATATGGCACTTAAATGAATTCACTTATGATAGCATATAAATTTATATAAGCTGTCAAAATATTCTGCATTAATAAATAAATAAATATATGTCTGCATATTACTTTCAGTTGTTCAGGATCTTTATAAGGAGCATCAGGGGCAAATACTCTGAACACATCAGCTATGCAACAAGCTATGAGCAGTCGCACATCCTTACTAGGATGTTCTAAAAAATTTTCTGAGGCTAAATGCATAGCAAGTGGAATGTATGCAGAATTATCATCTTCTTGACTCATATTCTGGAATGATTGAGCACATTCCTAACAAAAAAAAAAAACAAAAAAAAAAAAATTAAGTAACAGTATTTAGAATTAGTGTGCAGTTCAGAGAAACATACTGAAGAAGGTTAACCTTACCATATATTGAATAAGTAAATGAAACAGGAAGTAGATAATAAAGGTATAAATACAATACACATGAAGATGAAAAGGTTATTTAAAAATTTCAAATTGTGTCATTTTTACATAAAAATATTAGATAAAACTCATCAGTGTATTATCAGCAAAAATAAAAAAGTACATAAAACATTGCAATTTAAAATCTTTATGCTTAAAAATTAATAAAACATGCTAATGAGAAAATAATACACAATACAGTTAATTAACCCTTTGTAATCGGACTTTTTCTCATCTGAACTTTCAGCATTTCAAATATTTTTTTTCCCCTGTACCTGGCTATGTAATGTGTGATTTATTTGAAGGCACAAAATTTGCAAATAAAACTTTAAAAGCAAGATATTTTTAATGTTATTTTGTTATTATTACAATGAGAACATTTTGTAAATAAAAATTATTATAATACCATTTACATTTGGCACATTTTCATCACTTATATTAGAATCACTATACTGCAATATTTTCCCCCCCCTTCAGTGGTGGAATAATCTTCTGCTATCAGAATGTCTTTCATATTCACCCACACAAAATTAATCATCACTGCTATCTTGAAACTGCTTCTTCCATCATATTTTTGTCATGATGAATAATATTTTTTTTTTATTATTATTATTGGCCAAACAAATAACTAAATATTAAAATCAATGAAACATTAAATCACATGCAACTAAAATTTAACCATAAATACAATCGCATGATCTTCAGTGCCTTATATTTTGCTGGTGTGCCTATAAGGCACACTTCGAGTACAATGCTCAACTTTGGCAGTGCCTGTGAGGAGTACTTCCGAGTGCAAAGGGTTAAAATAAATTCCAAAACTACACAAAAACATTAAAAACACCTTCAATCTTTAACATTTTCTATGCTAAATGAATCAGTGAAGTAACATTCCAGACAAATTTATTAGATTAATTTTTTTCTTCATTAAGAAATGCTTCAATTCTGTCAGAAACAAAGTGATTCTTGAAATCTGTTTACACATTTGATCACATATGAATATCGCTTTCTATAAAAATTTTCTTATTAATTATTACCTCCTCACCCTTCCTACATGAAAATCAACTATTGGTCGAATAAACTGCATGGTTCTCAATGAAATTCAATGTTTAATCTTGCTGACTTTTCTCAGTTTTCCATGATCCAACTGAATGATTTCCTTGACCAAGCATCTTAAACTAGTCATCAAATTAAGCATGAAACATGAATAATTTTAGGAATTTACTATTAAATACAATAGAATAAATAAGAATATCAGAAAAATCTGATTTATTTTATTCATTATTAACTGCTTCAAGCGCAGCAGAGAGTTACAGGCCAATAAAACTATAATATGCATGAAATATATAAAATAATCAAAACCAAAGTTGAATACAATGTAATTTTAGCATGTGTAATGTGCAAATGAGCCAACTTCCCTTAAAAAGACCTCCACAGGACATCCCTCCCTTTCTGTGTAGTACCTAAGGGCAGCGCACATAATAAGTAAACGAAAAAAGTGTAATCCTGAAGCTTTGGTTATCACGTTTTGCTTGTATCTATCAAAATATATTCCTTGTAAACAACTGCTGATGATACATTAATTAAAATGTGTTACTTAACACACAGGGGAAAATATGTATCTGGCTTACTAGATACTGTATTTTGACAATTAATAAAATGAGTTATTACACTGAAACATGCCCAAAAAGAAATTTTCAAGGAGTAACCACAATTTCAATGATTTATGAAAAATGGGATAAACATCAGGATTCATTCCTCAAATACTTAATTTTTTTTTTATTACATTAGATATTAAAATCTTCAAACAAATGAAAATTATGCAGACCATAAAACTGAAATAAAATATTATTAACATGTTTCTTTCTTACCTTTTCAACGAGTTCCATTCTTTTTCAAAAGTAAAGTATGAAATACATATCACATATCATTTCAGCTACAATTTCATGTTTTTCTGACACCTCTGAATAAAAATACTCAAAAGTATTCGATACTTAACATAAGTTATATATGCATTTCATAATTCTGGAAACTAACCTTTAGTCTTCGCACTAAGTCATCAGTGCTAAGATCATTATTGATTTCCTTCACTCCACTAGGATAAACAATTTTAGGTTGCTTTAGAGTTGCCTTTGGCATTTTACACACAACTGAAATAAAAAACATAATTATAAACCTAGGTATAAATATATACATGACAAATATAATATATACACACACAAATAAAATAATTTTAAATATAATAATAAATGGTTCAAAAACAAAAATTTATATAATCCAAAATCCTTTCAAGTTTCACAAAACTGGCTTAGTTTCAATACATATAAAATATTAAATTAATAAATAATGCTTGCATTTGAGTGTATATATATAATTTATAATAAGAAACTTTCCATATACATCTATCTCCAAGGAACACAAATTCAAATTAAAACCATGAGTGTAAAATATTTTGTCAGAATTTAAATTAATATTTTAAATAGTAATTCCAATCTCCTTGTTTAAAAGCATAAAAATCTGCTAAGAAAAATCTTTAATCGCAAAAATACCAAAAACAAAAGTAAATATTTTAAGTATTGAAAAAGTAGCTATTGTCATTAATCCCAGATTAATTGACTAATTAAGGGGATAAACCAAAGATTAATCAAGGGAATAAACCAATCTTCTATCAATTAACAACTAAATTAATAGAGAGTATTTCATCTTACTTCCAAGAAAGCATCAAATTATTTGCTAGATTCAATCCATAAGTCCCAATTAATACTCAATCCAAATAAAGACATTGTTTCAAGAATAAAAAATATTAATTATCTCGACAAATGCATTTTGAGAAACACACGAATAACAGCACAAGATTGTTCAATGAAAGTTACTTATTAAACAATATTACGCTACTTCGCTAAGATACCACAGATATCTAAGCACCATAAAAAAAAAGTATACGTAACTTTCGTTTTCAGTCTGCACATTTGTGTGATATTTTACCTCATTATTAATAAAATCATTAATTACAAATATTATAAACCATCTATGATTAATTTTCACTAATTTCTTTACATCCCTTGTAATTTACAAAGCAATTACAGTAGCAGAAACACTTTTCAATCTAGGACCAGAAAGATTTTCAGAAGATCAATTTACTTACACAGGTGTACACTGCTTCAAAAATGATCGCAATTATCTGCGTTTAGGCAAGAATACATTCACAAAAATCTCCACTTGCGCAACATTAGACATAGTAAACTGTACATCATAAAAAAAGAGTCAAAATATCACACGCTAATGCTCCTCAAATTCTAACTGTCAAACTCACAGTAAAGCACAAGTTTCAGATATCGTCAAATATTAAAATACATATACGGAAACAGTTCAGGCCATACAACTAATAGTAAAATCATTTATTTTTTATAGTGTTATTGATTGAAATAATAACTATGCACTCGGTTGAACAAACTCGTTTACCATTAACTCCACGATCAAACAATAAACATGAGCGACACAGGATTGGACGCAGCCACCTTAAAAATCATAAATTTTACATACTGGGCATGGCGGTTATGGAGTAGAGTCACGGTGATATAATGAATGAACTGTAGTCGAAACGATAAAAAGGAGCATGAATTTTCTTTGAAATTTTGTATACTATAGAAAGATGGTATCTTAACTAATTGAAAATAAAAGTCATCAGTCAGATTACTAAGACAATCAGGTAGCAAAAATTAAGGATTTTATTCCTCATTTCTTAAGTATCTTAACAGAAAGATTTATGAATCTACTTTACAATTTATTTACATGCAGAGAAACAAATTTGATTTGCATATGTATTCTGACTTTCTGAATAAATTATACGAATTTCATAAAGGCTCTCAAAGAGGAAAACAAAGCAACTAATACTGTGAGTTAATAAACGTTATAACTTGTTCAATTTTACAACATGTCCTAAAAGATGCAAAATTAAAAGAAAAGAAACAGTGAAAATCATGTGTAGTTTTTTTTAATTATATATTTTTCTCAATAGTATGTTAATTTTTAAAACTCTCAAAGCACTCAAATTTATAAATAATTGCTGAATAATTCAGGGCATAATTTCTAAGATTAGAAGTGCCGGAGACCTATGGAAGACCGTCAGCAGAGAGGAACAAGAGTAAATAAATAAATAAAATGACTATTAAACTCATTAATAATTTTTAAATAAATAGTTTATTATTACCAAATTAATTAATAGATATATAATTAATATTTATGAATTGTTTACTTAATCCGTCATTATTATATAATTAGTTAATTATAATTTAATTGATAATGATTAGATAATTAATTATTATTTATTGAAATAATTAAAGATTGAAGTAATTAACTAATTAAAATTAAATAAAATATGAAGAGATAAATGGAAATTTAATACGCGATTTTTAATATAATTTTATTGTTAAAATAAAATGTTCATAATAAAATTTCTACTGAAATTTTTATTCAACTACATAGAAGAAGTGCCGCAGCCTTCTTATTCAGGGCTCCAGTGCGTTCCGGCTAGAATTATGATTTATTACAAAAACTAAGAAGCACCGCAGCCGAGATCCGGTAGGTTCCGGCCCAATTTAAGTTCTGATCGTAGGGGGGGGGTTCTTTTATCATCACAAAAATTAAATATACTTAAAGTATAGCTGATGAAAATTCCAGGGCGAAACAGAATGAGAGTATGAGTGGGTGGAAACAAAAAATGAGGGGAATCTTGGTGAGAGAGAACGTTCTCTTTGACCGCGGCTCTCTGTTGATATAATTATAGCCATCAAACAGATGGGTGTCAGGGATAAATGAGTCCTGAATCGGACTCCTAAATGTAAAGTTGCTGGTTACGCTTACCACCGCCCATTAGTGGATACTGTGGGAAAGGCGATGTATAGGACGTGCTTGAGCAGTTTATCTCAGTATTTCACTCTTATTGTACTCGCTGCCACTTAACGCACATTTAAGAACTCAAATTTTCCGTCCTGCGAGGATAACTAACATAGGATAACTAAGCATCGATAACAATACACTAGATACAATGACATGGCGAGAAATTTAGGCGTTCCTAAACAAACTCCCCCGAATTTATTGCTTTTCTTAAAGAGAAAGGTTTCCGCATGCGAGTGAGGGGACTTTACTTGAACGTCTCATGTTCTCATGAGTTCGTATTTCTAAGGAAATAGAGTATTGCAAAGTCTGCTTATTGTTAAACTAAAACATTAGGAATTCTAAATTTTGTTCCCTTTAAACTGTGATTCAGTTTTATAAAAAGAAGTACCGGAGCTCATCTTAGTTAGGGCTCCGGTGCGCTCCGGCTAAAATTGTAATTTATCTTAAAAATTGAAAAGCACCGGAGCCGGGCTCCGGTGGACTCCGCAATTTAAGCACTGGAATAACTTTATTTGTATATAGTTCAGCTGAACCGATTCCTTTTACACAGGTTTGTCTTTCTAACCAGAAAAACAGGGGAAAAAAAGGATAAACCACTATTTTCTAGAAGGAAATTATGTGTCTTTCCTCGGCTTCCTTGGTATGAATTCCTAGAAAGGATATAATATGTCATGGGACTTTTTGCGAAAGGTTGTTTCTAAGTGTTGACCATTCCTACTAAGGGCTTGTTAAGGAAATGGTTTTGAGCTTAATAAGCTAATCATTCAGATCCATTCAATGTCTTCTCTCTTCCTTTAAGAAAAAAACCTCGTTAATTTCAAATGTTCACGTACACTTAGAAACCCCATTCACGTAATTTATAAATGTCCAAACTAGAGACGTAATTAAGCATATCAGCTTAAATATACCTCGATCATGTATAAACGTAGAGAACTTAATCGTAGCAGAAACTTACACAGGCTCTAATTCATATTTTTCACCCAGAAGAAAATTATCACTGAAATAGAGGTTATAAGAAACTATATTACTGTGATCACAAAATAATTGGAAATATTTTATGGAGCAAAGGACCGTTACTGAATTATCCATGGCAATCGAACTGTAGTTTTGAATTATAGAGGATGATGTTTCAAATGCTCAAAGTCTTCCTTTCGAAAGATGCTCCGGAATCTTCATTGGGAAAGTTCTTGCAGCTGTTTACACATTTCACCAGGCATCATAAAATTTACACGTTTCCAGCATCGGTCTAATCCTCCAGAAAAATTGCTTGCTCCTCTTCTGAAAAAATTTTTTTTAATTTAAATTAAAATTTTATTTATTTATTTATTATTTGTATATAGATATATCATACTAACTGATGTGGGACAAATATCATGAAATGCAAGATATTTGATATTCAGAACCATGCTATATCTTAATCTGGAAATCTTACAATCATTGTCATTGCTCTGGAGAGAGGTATTCATGCCATCAAAGATCTCTAAAGAATACTGTGCATTTTTCTGTCAAAGAACTACAATATTCGATTTTTAGTTGTTTCAGAGAATTACACTAAACATTACAGCTCTAGACTTGAACACAGAACTTTCGAACAAATCTGCGTTCTTGAGCCTACTTTGCAAGGTTCAAGCTCTTGGTACAATAAACTGACACACGAGAAAATTCGATCCAGTTTCCTCCTTTCACATTTCTAATCACTCCTGGGGACTAAATGAAGATAAGAGATTATCTTCAACAGGAGTTTACGACGGTTAAAAAATCCCCTGCAATGAGGAAAAGTGTACTTAGGAAACTGCGAATGCTAATAAATTAAAACTTAAATTGAATACTAAGAAATTAAATTATTTTCTTAGACCAAAAACACATTGATAAATCATGATCGCCATCGATATTAACAGCTGCACTTCACGTCTAATCAACAGGTTCGAGTCTCGTCATCCCATTTATTTTAATTAATCATACTACTACCAAGTCTCTGTGTCTCACTGCAATTTTTCTACAGTATTATTTTGAGAAGCCAAATGCTCCACAGCTTCTTCCATCACCAAGTGAAATACAACATTGTCTAAAACGTCGTCATAAATCATTAAATAACTCAAGCACTGGTTGAAGACAATATGTTTGAAAGAGAATTTTTGATTTATTAGATAATGGAAAAGCCACTTGTGTAGCAATTCAAGACGTCTGCTGTATGTTGTCATTGCGTTATGAACTCACGAGCCAGATCGCAAGAGATCTCGGATGGAGAAACTCGCACGCTGCGTCGTGCTAGATTTAAAAATTTTACAGATTTTCCATGTATCCGTTAATATTATGTAGGTTTTTTTTGTTCACATTAAAATCTGTTTTGTACAAAGATGTATTGATCATTTTGGAGTATTGTCTCTCGAAGGATCGCAAGTGAAAGGAAGATCATCTAGTGGCCCTGGCAAAGAACCCTGTGAGAACAATATAAGCAACTTTTTTAATGTTTTGTCTTGATTAATTGAATTCGAAGTAACATAACATGAGGCTATCTGTCTAAGAAGAGGGGTGCGTTCATTAAAAGCCTTTTAAGGTTCAGAAGAAAAGCATTAAACAGAAATTAAAATATTTCACTTCATATATGGCATATTTTACTTTTTATAAGCTTCAGTTTTCCATAACTATTTCCTTCATCAGATATGGGTAGCAAGTAAATATATAAGATAATATAAATATACTTCAGGAAAAAAAATTATTGTCAGCGTCTGGGAAAAAAGATTTAAGGTCTGAAGAGTGCGGAATGAAAACTCCTTGTACAAAAGAAATCATGAAAATTCTCCTTGTCAAAATTTACACAAATATTTCTCAAATATTTTGGATGCTCATTTTCGTTACATGAACTATTTTGGTAAGGTCCTTCAATAATTAATTAATCAAGCAATTATGCAGTAAAACTTCCTTAACATTGTTTCAGTATAACGCGATAGTATTGGGATTTCTCTGAAAATGCACGACGTATCGTTATTGCTGGGTTAGTTTGCCCGGACATTCCGATAATTAATTGATGAAACCGATGGAGAGAATAAACAGTCCATCAGAAATTTTTGCAAAATAAAAATCAGAGTTTCTACGCAAAAACAAGCAATTCGGCCAGCGGGCAAGAAGGCTCATCTTCCGGTACGCAAAACTGAAAGTTTACTTTTGGTCTCACTCGGCAAAAAGACATTGAATGCGCAGAAACTGACTTAATTCACTATTCTATGAATTTCAGATGTAAACAAATAGCGGTTTCCAACAGATTAGAATAGAAAAACTAAGCTCACCGAGCCAGGTAACAGAGTGGGAATTGGTACACTTGTCTTCGCACTAAATGAATTTAAGATCATGTGGATATATATATATATTTCGTATATAAATATTCTAAAAAAAATTTACACGGGAACCACAGTATCACATTTGCTTTTAAGCAATAGAATATGAAGAATTTCCTTTTTACCTTATTTTCAAATTTTGCAGCTTAATGCGCAAAATTCTTGATCGCACAGGTCTTTTTTAGTTTTTTTTTTCCTTTCTTACTTTATATATATATATTTATATACGATTGGTGCAGCGATTGCAACGAAAAAGGGAGATATATGTTATAGCAGTCCCATATGCAA